CTTCGAGCCCTCGACGAAACCTTCACGGACGTTCTCTTGCCACAGCATGCGAAACACCTCGTGGACATTGTGCGGCATGGAGCTGCGCTTGTCGCAGACGTGGGCCACCTGGATGGCGGCGCGCCTCTCGCGAGGCTCGCCGCGGATCAGCTTCGCCGCCGTCTTGGCCAGCTGCTTCTCCTCGTCGCTGGCATGGCGCTTCCTGCCCATCGCCACCGGCGGTGCCCGCGGCGCTGGGCCTGCCGCCGCCGATGCCCCGCTGCCGACGTCGACGGTCAATCGCCACCTCAGCAGCTCCCGTTGCTCGGCCCCATCGGGCGGCGGCAAGGATGCTGGGCCTGGGGCCGCCGTCGCCGCTGAAGGCGGCGATGGCTTCACCGCCGGCGGCGCCGGCGACGCGGCTGTCACCGACGGCGGCCCTGGCGCCGCGCCCCCCGATGCCTTCGCCGTGGCGGCCGTCGCCGGCGTCGGCGGCGGCGTCAGCGGCTTGGGCTTAGCGCCCGCCGAAGCTGCCTGCGGCGGCGACTGGTGGGTGGCTGGCATTGGCGGCGGTGATTGCGTCGCCACCGGTGGTGGCGGCGACTTGATGGCTGCCACTGCCGACGGATCTGGTTCGTCTTCGACCTCGACGATCGTCTTGTCAATCACCGAGTGACGCGCCGCCTTGTGGCTGATCACAGGGCCCACCACGCGCAAGGGAGTTGGGACAAGGCGCGACGCCAGGGACGCCTGAGACGACGGTGGCGCCTGCGGCTCAGGCTCGGGCAACTCCTCAGGCTGTGTCTCCTCCAAGAAGTCGCGATGGTTGAACTGCGGTAGGGTATCGCCATCCTGGCCGTGGAAATGCAATGATGATCCATGCCCAACTTGGGAATCCTCGGCGAGCTCCCCTGCGAGAGAATCAGTCAGGCCCTGATACTGAGAATCAGCCATGGCGAGACGAGTGGCGTGTTCTTCGTCAATGGATATACAGATACACAGCAGTGTTAGCCTCGCCGAGACGAGATGCCTTAGCCAAAATGGGCTACGGAGGAGGAGGAGGGGGAGGGATGAGGTGGCAGCCACGTCGTTTCACTGTCATTGTTTCTGGTGCAAACACTGTTTGGGGAACATTTCGCGGGGCCTTCGGCGACGCGGTCTTGCAGGCGCAGTTTGAAACTTGGGGAGGGGGCCTCTCACAGGGCGCAAGCACTGGTTGGGGAAACTGGTTGACGAACTGAGTGCAAAGCACTCCCGACCCCCTCAAGTAGGGAGCTCCCGACCCCCTCAAGTAGGGAGCGATGAGGGGTTGATCGAAAAGGGCTCTGGCTGGCAAAACCGATTTGCTGGCCAGCAAATCGGTTCTGCCAGTCAGGAGCGCCACCGACTGGCAGAAACGATTTGCTGGGCCCCCTGGCGGCCGGCAGAAACGATGTGCTGAGCAGATGCCGTGCCCCAGCAAATCGGTTCTGCCAGTCAGGGGCGCCCCCGACTGGCAGAACCGATGTGCTGGCCAGCAAATCGGTTCTGCCAGTCGGAGCCTCTTCGGGGCGCTCCCGACTGGCAGAAATCGGGGGCTTCGGGGGCGCCCCCGACTGGCAGAAATCGGGGGCGCTCCCGACTGGCAGAAATCGGGAGCGCTCCCGACTGGCAGGCATCGGGGGCGCCCCCGACTGGCAGGAATCGGGCGCGCATATCGGCGCGGCGCTCCCGACTGGCAGAAACCGACGGCGCCCCCAGGATGATGATGAGGAGGAGGAGGCTCTGAGGAGAAGGACCCAGGCTCAGGCAGGAGGACCAGGAGGAAGAGGATGAGGAGGAGGAGGGCGAGAGAAAAGGGGGATCCAGGTCGGACAGAGGTCCGCGGAGGAGGAGGGGAGGATAAGGGTGAAGTTGAGGAGGGGATGGAGGCAGGAGGAGCGGGAGGGAGCGCAACGACGACGACGACGGCGGCGGCGGTGGCGACGGCGGCGGCTGCGGCGGCGGCGGCGGCGGCGACGACGACGACGCGACGAGACAGGCATGTTGCAGTGTTTCCAATCCCCAGTCGGAGGCGTCTGAGGGCCTCCTAAAGCGCCAGTCGCTGAGACCAACGTCGAGACGCATGCGCCCCCGCCGGCAATGGCCAGGCGCATCTTAATTGTTGCGTAGTGCCCTAGCGCCGTCCACCAACATCTCAGAACGGCCTCTCGGCAGCCGTGATTGCTGCCTTCATTATGCGCTGGATGACCGTCTTAGTAAAGCCATTGCCAATCATGGAGCCCAGCGCCCAGTCCGAATGCGATGATAAATCCATGCCAGCAATCTCGTCGTTGGTGAAGCCCTGCAGCCGCATCATCTCTTTACAAGTCAAGCGTTTCGCCGTCTGCAGGTCCATGTAGGAGCGGCCCTTGCATCTGGTAGCGGTGAGGCACGGGGAGTAGCCGATTGCCATGTTGAGTTTCGCGCTGCCCATATCCACGATCACGCCGTAATCCGTCGCTGACTTGTTTTCATCATCGGCCTTGGCTTTGATGCGCTCCAAGGCTTGCGAGATGTGGCGCTGCACCATAGGGCTGAACATCTCCATGGGGTAGGCGTTGTAATCCACGACAGGCGGGCGCGGGTAGTCGTAAATAATGTCCAAGCTCAGCGGCGCCACAGGCGTTGGCCAGTCGAACTTGATGGCATTCCGGCCCATGCGCTTGACGGCCACGATATAGACACGTTCTCGATTTTGTGGCACGCATCCGACGTCGAGTGAGTTGAGCGTGTCTATGAACACGTCGTAGCACGTCCCCCCCGTTGTATTGTCAACGATGGCCTTGATCTTCCTCACGATGGTGTCCAGCGTACTCTTGTGTTTGGACGCCAAGCCCGGCACGTTCTCCAGCAAGATCACGCGAGGCTGATGCTTTTCGATGTATTGGATGATGTACCTCGCGACGTTGCCTCTTGGGTCACCAGTGCCCAAGTGTTGGCCAGCTAGGCTGAAGGGTTGGCGCGGGAATCCAGTGGTCAGGATATCCACGTAGGGCGCATTGTCCACGAAGCCGTTGGTGGCGTCATCAAACTCATAGGCAACGTAGACGTTCGCCCGCAACCACTCCTGAGCCTTCTTGTCCTTCTCGCACCAGAACACGTGCTCAAACGCGTAGCCACGGATCGCATCGAGCGCCCAATGATCCGCCCCCATGCCCGAGCAGATCGAGCCGACGAGGGTGGCGCCTGGCATATTGAAGTTGCCCTTAGACGCGGTAGGAAGGCCCCTGGCATACTTAGACGCAGCCGCTGGCCGCTGGTGGATGCTAGCAGCCGCTGGCTTCTTCTGAATGGTTTTCTTGGCCGACTGCTTAGCTTTGGCCTGTGCGGGTGCCCGGCCGCCCGTCGTCGGCGGAGCGCTCGTCATTGCAAGTCCCCAATCCAAATCCATGTTGGTATTGAGTTGTCTGCGGCCGCAACAACCCTGAACACATTGGGCATAAACGGCTGCAGCATGCGGCATCAACCTAGAGACGCCCAACAACAAGATGGAAGACAGACGACGACGATGACGACGACGAGTACGAGAGTGGCGACGCGGAGGAGGGCGGAGGGGGACGGGGGATAAGGCCAGATAACATAGGAAGTGGAGGAAGCAACTGGGGGGAGACCTGAAAGGGGAGGGAGACTCGATGAGAAAGAGCGCCCCCCGCTCGGTTGGGCAACAACAACGATTGGAATGGGGCAGGAGGAGGAGGAGAAGGATGAAGAGGAGGAGGAGGAGGTCCTCCTCCACCTCCTCCTGGAAGGGCCCCGGCTGCAGAAAAGCGCGGGCGGCCTGCGCAGCGAAGACGAACTCGAAATAAGGCCCGTTGGCGCGCCCCTCCTTCTCCGCCCTCCCCCCCCCTTCCTCCTCCTCCTCCTCCTCCTTATCATCGTTTCATTTCCTCACCTCCTCCTCATATCCTCCCCATTTCCTCATCCTCGCCCCGCTCCCTCACTCGCTCACTCATCATCTCTCCTCTCCTTTTCCTCCACGTCTTCTTCCCGTCGAGGAGGGCCAAACAGGAGGACGATCATATTTCCCTCGAGCGGCAAAGGCGGCCCATGGCCGCGGTTACTTGTTTTTTGCTCAGGTTTACCTCTGGAGGGCAACCTATTTCCCCAAACGTCTTTCGAGCGAAATCTGAATCACGGCGCATGCGGGGTGCTTCGCCCTATAATATGAAACAGCTGTTTCTCTCAGGGCTCCCTTGCTACACCGTCGCGCATCGCTGCCCCTTTAGAGCATGCAGAGCCAAGAGGGGGGACTGCATGAGGCTGAGGAGGAGGCAGGAGGAGCAGGAGGGGGGGGAGCAGCGCCGAGGAAGCGCCATAGGAGGATGAGGATCTGAGACTGAGAGGAGGGCGAACGGCGCCGGCGGACCACTCACGCATCCAGAGTCGCAAGCTTCTCCGCGAGGGCACTCTGCAAGTCACCCCCACTGGTTTCGGTCTTGGGCTTCTTATTGGGCGGGGGCGTGACTTTGTCCTCCTCGGACGGCTGTTTCGGGCCCGGCGTCGGCGCATCTTTCTTGTTGATTATATCAGACAAGCTTTGGTCGAAGAGCGGGTGGCCAGGGGTGTGCATCAGCTCCAACATCGTGTTCTGAAGAAACTTTTCCATCTGAACCTTCAGGGCACAGCAAACCCGAGCTAATAAGGGGGTGGAGGGTTACTAACGAAACAAGCCACGACAAGGGGCGGTATGATTTGCATTGGGATCAGCATTAGGTTTGGAATGCAGGTTTGGAGGTCGAGATGGTGAGGGTCAGCGTCGCCGCCGTCGTCGTCGTCGACGTCGTCGTCGTCGCCGTCGGCCCCATCGCTGAAAACAAACAACCAAAAAGCTAACTGCCCCGACCCTGCCAACAGACCCAATCCAGAGCTTCTCTTATTCATCACTCATGATCCTACCTCATGGCACAGACCCTACAATACTCAGCCCATGGGCCGTCGGGGGGGGGGGGGGAGGGCGGGGGAGGGGGAGGGGGAGGTGGAGGAGATAGTTTATCTGACCGCTATACCTTCTGCTCCTCGGCGTAGCACACTCCGAAGTACGGCGCGTCCTTGATCAGCGAGTGCATCGCGTACACCCCGTTGCAGCCCGTGAGGTCGATGTTGGCCACGCCGTTCACGCCGCTGGTGACCTCGTCGTAGACGTGCGGGTTCATGCCATGGTAGTTGAACGGCACCATGTCCTTGCCCTTCGGCCCAGGGTCGGCTTTGGCATCGTCACCGGCGACTGCCCCTCCGGCCAGGATCCACGCCGAACCGTACAAGCTCGGCTTATCGCTGTGCTTGACCGTCCACGTGAGCGTATCGGTCTTCGTTGGTTTGTCGAACTTTCCAATCACTGGGTCTTTGTTGGTGCCCTCGCTGTACAGCTTCTTCTTCTCGGGGATCTCGGAGCCCTTGCTGAACTGGAAAACGAACTCCATCGTGGGGAGCCCGTAGACACCAGAGTAGTTGCCCTTAGTCTCCTTCAAGGACTTCTCGGTGGTCTGCAGGAAGAGGATGCGCTTATCCTTCTTGAGCGCCTTCCCATCCTTGCCCTGGAAGGCCTTGCCGAACTTCAGCTCGTTGCCGTGAACTCCGCCGTCGAAGATGTTGTAGATTACGTTCCAGGGCATCTCATCGTCCGGCTGATCGTCGCGACACAGGGCAGCCAGCGATCCTTTGATCATGCGGTCGTAGTGCTGGTCCCTGAAATGATTAATGCGGAGATGCCCGCGAGCATTCGGGTGCCCAGACAGCTTGGTGTCGTAGATGACGACGACGTTCTGGTCGCTGCCAAGCTCCATATCGAGCCCCTTCCACCACGTTGAAAGCGCTTCCGCCACGCCTGTAGGGGAGCCAGGGTCCACGATGAGCTTCACAACTCGGCTGTATCTGTTCTTCACGAAGTTCGAAAAGGGTTTCAGCGCATCCTGCAGTTTGGGATCCGTCAGCTTGCTCTTGATCGGGTCCCCTGTGAACTCATCCTCCTCGTCGGAGTCCACGAGGTCCTGCATCGTGACTTCGGTGGCGTCATCCTGCGGCACAGCGTCTCCCTCCGCCACGAGGGCCGTGTAGATGGCGTCGATCTTCTCCTTCAACGGGGACCTGTCGAGAATCTCCCCCACCGGCGAGCCCTGGATTTTCTGCTGCTTGATCTGCAAATCGTAGTCTACCTTGAAAAGGCACTCCTCGAAGACGGAAACGGCCAACTTAGAGGATTGCTTCATAGCGGCGCGCCAGGACACGTCCTTCTCGCCAGCCTTGTACCCGACCATGGTGCGGCACGCGTCGTGCCCGACTGACCATGCCTCCATCCGTTGGAGCGCCCCTGCGTTGAGACCCATCGCCCGAAATTTCGTGATGAAGCAGTGCCCGAGCTCGTTCTTGGCAATCAGCAGGTCTAGCAGTCCTTTCCCCCCTGGGAGTCCCCGACCAGTCAGCTGGCGAAGGCTGATTTCACCCACCGATGTCATCTTGGAGGTCACCAGGTCCAGCAGCCCAGCAGTGCACCAGTGGATCAGGCTACTCGATTGCGCCCTCTTCACCACTGCCTCGTACTTGTAAATGCTGTCGAAAGGCGTCACCCCAGTAGAGTCGGCCTCCACCGCGATCTTCTGCGTATAGGGGTTGTTCATGAGCCTGGCCCCCACAGTAAAGCAAGCGTCCACGTACGTGTCCGAAATCTTCTCTGAGCTCGGTGCCATGGATACCTTCTCGGCCCACATCTTGGCCGTTTTCTGCGCGCCCACCTCATGCCCGACAGAGGTCTCGATCACATCCTTGCTCTCCATGACGTCGAAGAATCTCTGCGTTGCCGTGCGCTTGACCGCGCCACCCATGCCGGCGATGCTCTCGCGCAACCCATGGGCCGCCCAGTACGAGTCCATTCCTGGGAGACGTGCCGAACATACATCACGCGCAAACCAATAACAAGCCCTGGGCAAAGTTGCATCTAGTCTGCGTTTTCACTCGATGCTTGAAGTAGCCAAAAACGACATTAAAGCAACAACGCAACAACATGCAAACCTGATATATCAAAAACATGTGAAACCCAATCTACAGAGGGCATGTGGAGGCAAGGCCGCCCGTGATGCACGAGCGCACTCGGGCGGGGTATTGCTGCCCCGGCGGTCCTCCGTCGACGACGTTGAAGGTGACTGGGAAGGTGATCAGCGCGCGCTTCAGCATGGCCACCTGCTCCGGCGTGGGGCTGGTCTCGAGAAGCTTGGCCGATCCGATGATGACGGCCCAGATGATCTCGGGGGGGGGGCCGTCACCAAGCTGCCGAACATATCCGCGATGGGAACGGCAGGGTCCGTGATGCTGACCGTCGCCGTGAACGCCGAGGGGAAATTGCCCTTGAATCCGTTCTGGTAGACCACGTCGATCAGAGAGTTCAGCTTGTTGAGATTCGCGCGGGCCCGTTTCGCGGGGTTGCCGTGCAAGTCCAACTGGAAGATGTTGAATCCAACTGGGCCGTACGTCTTAGCTGTATTCAGGCACGCCTGGCTGGTATCGTTATCGAAGGGCGCGATCGTCGACGTCAGGCTGACGTCCGTCTGTTCGCGCGAAGGCAGCGGCAGCGGAAGGCTCGTGCCGACGTTGCCCATGTCCTGGCGGCCCACGATCATCTGCTTGGCCGCCGCGACGCGGCTCATCAAAGAGTTGTTCATGCTTTGCGCGATTCCGCTTGAGCTGCCGGCAGTCGCACCAGGGGCCTGCCTGGACTGCGACCGCACCGAGGAAGGCGACCCCTCGTCCGTGACAAGACTGTCGACGCTGCCGAGGCTCCCACCCAGGCTGGCTGCGACAGCGCCGGCCGCCACGCCTCTCGCGCCGACTCCGCCTGTCCCCCTCGCGACGCTGTCGAGGGGCGCGTCCTCCAGCCCAGGCGCGGCGCCGCTGACCTCCGCCGCCGGCGGCTCCGCCTTCACGTCGTCGGCGCGGCCCCGGCCACCACGGCCGCGGCCGCGGCCGCGGGCGGGCGGCTGGGCGCCAGCCGCCTTGGGGGTCGCCCTCTTAGAAGAAGCCTGGCCCCTGGGCGCCATGCTCTCAGACAGTCAGACTCGAAGAGAGAAAACAGAGGATTGCAAGCTCCTCAGGAAGGGTTTGGCGCCAAAACGGCTGCGGCAACCCAAGCAGTACTTGCGCGCGAGGGGGGAGGATGACGAGGAGGAAGAGGAGGAGGGGGAAGAGGAGGAGGAGGAGGAGAATGTGGGGGGATCGAGCCAGAGAGTGACTCTTATGATGGCAAGCGGCAGCGCCGTGATGACAATGAGGAGGCCACGCAGAAAGCGCATGCTAAGAGAGACCTTGAAAGGGGGGTCGGCGTCCTCCGAAGTACTTCAGCATTCCTGGATTGCATGGCGAAGACGATCCTTATGGTGAATAGCACGTTTGCGGACCATCGTCTTGAACTCTACCAGGCCAGGAAGATGTTGATTGGAGACTACGGGCCTCTCGTCTTTCCTCCAGATGTGGCGTCTTATCGCAATTTGCTTGTAGAGACCCTCTGGACCCAGGAAAACCACATGTGCAGCATCGAGGCTAACATGTGTCAGGCTAGGGAGCAGTGCATGGCACAAAGCAGGGCTATGAGAGGCCCATGGCCTAACGCCCCCAGCTTCGACAACGTGTGAGGAGGTAGCATACTCAGAGATTCAATGCCCGCGTGTGGAAGCCTCTTACAGCTTCAGACCAGTATGTTTCTGCTGATCGGGCTGCACAGTCAGCATGCGTCTGCTCCCTACAGCTTTCAGACCAGTATGTTTCAGCTGATCGGGCTGCACAATAGTGAAACAAAAACGTGCTCTTGCGCTTCATTGAAACCGATCTCTTACGACGCCCCATCTGATGAAAGGGCCCCGGCAATGATATCCTGGAAACTCTGAAGCCAATAATGGGTCTCGCGCCGAAGCGGCTTTTGCGACCCAAACAGCACTTGCACTCATTCGGAGGAGGCTGACGAGGAGGATGTTGAGCTGTTTGATGTTGGGATAATGTGCTTCGGTCGTTTGATGTTCAGCTGTTTGGTGTTGGGATGTTAAGCTGTTTGCTGTTGAGCTGTTTGATGTTGGAGTCGCCGTCGGCGGGGGGAGAAGGACCTCGGAGGTCTGAGGAGGATGAGGAAGAGGATGAGAACGGAGGTGGAGGGGATGGAGGGAGGGGAGGGACGGGCAGGGATGAGGGGGCGGAGGGATTAGGGGCGAGGAGACGGGGGAGAGGAGCCAGGTGATGGAAAAGGATAGGGGCGATATTGGGAGCAATGTTTGCACTGTCACTCCATCTGCGCAACCGCCGTACGAGCTGCAGAACTTATGGGCGCAATTGCTGTTCCAAGGCCTACGACCCTGGTGTATCACTTCAAGGCCAAAGACCCTGAGCAACACTCATCGCAAACGCACCATACCAAAATACCACATCGCCGACCCAGTTTGGGCCACAGGCATGCTGATGTTATGAACCTCATGCTTTCCATATGTCACGCATGCTACAAATGTGACGCACATCGCCTCCATGTGAGGGCGAATCGAGATTAAATGCATACGTGCACACGTGCAAATCGCATTGGTAGCTCGCTGCACACTGCACGCACATAATCAACATGCATGGCCTGCTGTGCTGGCTGGACCGCCTCGGATGGGCAACGCAACAAAGCAGCGAATTTTTTCTGGGCTAGGGCGAATACTTGAAACCGCGCTGAATATCACTCACCGCTGCGGCTTCGCTTTCTTCCACAAAGAAGCCGCAAACAACCCTTGATGGTCGATGTGGTCGTAAGGCCTCTGGGACTGCACATGCTCCAAGTACTGAGCATACGTCCAAGCATCTTGGCTGCTACCCCAGTGACGCTTCTCATGCTGAATGGCATCGTCTTCCATGTCGGGGTCTGCAATCGCTCGCACACGAACCGCCTCCTGGTAGTCATCCTTTACTGCTGTCATGATCCCTGCGCTCAATGCGCAATCATATTCTCCAAGAAATACGACCGCATGATTGCATGAGAAAGCGTGGCGGACTGCGGCCACGACGTCGAATCTTCCATTCTGAAATGTAGGCCCAACCCATAATGATTGCTCCCCCGAAACTATTGCAACCTGCTTCTGCCCAGCATTGAGACAAACTTCATCGCCCTCCTCATCTTCCCAATTGCATTGTTTTGGCGACCACGTGAAGGGCAAATCACTCATGGGGGCTGTCATCGCCCAAGACTTCGATTTCGCCACTGCCTTGTGAATGTCTCCAATTGCGTCCAGGTCAGTTTCCCTGCATAATGTAATCATCGCCACATTTGGTAGCTGTCCACGAACGGCCCCCCATACCATCTGATTGTAGGGCCCGACAGAAAAGTCTGATCCTTTGTCTTGCTTGAGGATGTTTTTATATTCGCTCGGGCAAAATATGTTTGACATTATCACCAGACCACCTTTGTCAATTGATGCGCAATCCAACGTATGACCCAAACAAAACGCGTTGGCAACTTTGATATGCACACCCGTCGCAGTCAACCTAATCATGTTTAACTGAGCCCCCGGCCTTTTAGAGAAACCAACATCTGCTACTATGCAAGCCATATGGTCGAAGTCTCAGTATCAAATCAATACGCCCTGGCACAGATTGGTCCTCAAACGGCGGCGGAGCAATGTGAAGGCAATTGTGTTAATGTTGATGTTCACATTTAATGCTGTGTTTTTGTTTTCTGAATTGTTTTCGGATGTCTGCGATACGATGGTGATATGATGGCGTTGATATGATGATATACAGCTGTGGTCATCGATCGTGATGATGGCCATAATGGTGTTGATGACGTCGATTGTGTTGTACGCATGTGGTAATGTTGCGTGGTATGGTGTATTTGCTGTGGATGTGGTCCTGCTGTTGGTGGTGCTGTAGTTGATGATGATATGGATATGCTGTTGGCGGTGCGGTTGACTGTTTTTTGGTTCTGCAACCATCATATGTTACACATCACCACCAACAGCAACCGCACACCAACATCATCATAGACACGATCAACACGTTAACACACTACCAACGTACAATCATCAACATGTCAGACATCACAACAACATGGCGCTCATGACCAACATCACCTCCACATTAACAGCATACTCGTTGCAACCACAAGGAACATCATATAATATAACCATCTTCCCGCAATCGTTACCAACTCACTGCGACTATCGTCATCATAACCATATCATCACCATGTCATTATATCAGCATATCATCATCGCCAACCACCGCTACCATCATCATCTCATCGTGACCATCATCATCACAACCACCATCATCATCGTCACCATCATCGTCATCATCGCGGTGGCGACCACCACCCGACCAGGAGGGTCGGGAGACACACCCCCCATGCTATGGCCACCCAAGTCTTGGGGCCCCCCACACGATAATTTCTTGCCCGAAACCTACCAAAGCCCCCCTCCTGGCCCCCCTCCTGGCCCTGGCATCCCCACCCCGGGAGAGCTCTATTCTTGGGACCCCCCACGCGACAATTTCTCGCCCGAAACCTACCAACGCCCCCCTCCTGGCCCCCCTCCTGGCCCCGGCATCCCCACCCCGGGAGAGCTTTATTCTTGACTCCCCACACGATAATTTCTTGCCCGAAACCTACCAACGCCCCCCTCCTGGCCCCCCTCCTGGCTCCGGCATCCCCACCCCGGGAGAGCTCTGCTCTTAGGACCCCCCACACGACAATTTCTCGCCCGAAACCTACCAACGCCCCCCTCCTGGCCCCACTCCTGGCCCCGGCATCCCCACCTGGGGAGAGCTCTGCTCTTAGGACCCCCCACACGACAATTTCTCCCCCGAATCCTACCAACGCCCCCCTCCTGGCCCCCCTTCTGTCCTCCTCCTTCTCCTCCTCCTCCTTTTCCTCCTCTTCCTCCTCCTTCTTTTCGTCCCCACCCTCCTCGTCTTAGTACTATTAGTATTACTAGTGGTGGTACTATGTTTACTGTTATACTTAATCTAATTATGAATTAAATTAATCGACATACTATCATTAATAATGTCATTAACACTGTTATTGTTTTTTCATAATATTAAGATTACCCGTCGTAAGACCAGAAGTAGCAGTATAATTCGTAATATTAAATGTATGTGTCTGTATATGTTTCTTTGTCGTAGCATTCGTAATGGTATTAGTATTGTTCGGATTTGTACTACTATGCTTTCTTATTCGGTGTATTACTAGTGTTAACAATTTTCGTACTACTCGCATTAATATTCGTATGATTGATACTAATACTAGTACGCTATGTATTATTACCCGTCTTCTTCTTATTATTTCGATTGTTATGTGTTATTGTGTTCCTCTTTCTTCCTCATCCTTCTCCTCCTCGTCCTCCTCTTCCTCCTTCTCCTCCTCCCTGCCTCAGTGTTCTATCTCTCTCTCTCTCTCTCGCTCGCCATTGGCAGCATTACCTCAGATCACCAGTGCTGACCTGGAGCGGGACACCTCCAGGGATCGACAAACCTCACATAACAGCGAGTCACACATTAGAGAGATACGCTCGTCCAGGTCCACCGAAACGTCTCTTCGGGTGGAGCCCATGTACACACTGCTGGAAGGGCACACGCTGTGAGATTCGATGTGGAAGATGACTGATTTGAGGGAATGGGTGCAACACCCGTCCAATTATCCCCGAGAACGCCTGGTCCACTGGGGTAGCCCAAATGGGATAACATGCTGGAACGGTTCCGGGGTGATTTTTCATCTGGGACGCCCCGAATTTCTGCCTGGGGGCCCAACCGAGAAAGAAGGCTCCCCCTAAAGCAGCTACAGCTGGAAAATTGTAAATCTGGCCTCGGGCACACCCTCCCTCGATTAGAGGGCCTCTGGTGCT